AGAGCAGGGAACAACTTTCTTTCTCAAGTGAGTGTGTATCTGCCAAGGTCACCAAGGTCTTCTTTTATTTGTTCCCGGATTGCCCGAACTTTCCTATTAAGCAGCTCAAGGCAACCACACAACTAAAATCACAATCAAAAAAAAAATTTTTGTTCGGGTACTTTTGATACACCCGATCTGGAATCCAAAGTTGATCACAAATTTCCGGGTCAAAACGGGCTCTTATGATCCTAATAAGCACGCCTAATATCCTAATATGATCTTTATTAATTGTATATTTCCCGTCTCCCAAATTTCCACAGAAGGTTTCCTCAAGTTTCTAACAAGGAGGGTTGCTAAGAAGTTTAAGTCACTCCGGAGGGTTACTTCGGAGGGTTGTTAAGACACTTAGCCTACCTCGGAGGATTACTTCGGAGGGTACCTTATTCACCCAAGTTACTTCGGAGGGTCCCACTAAATTTACTAAGGAGGGTCAATAAGATGCTTAATATGCTCCGGAGGGTTACTTCGGAGGGTACCTCCAAAATTTTCAAATTTCTGAACCTCACTTAGAAGGGCCTTCAATTAACTTCAGGAAGCATCAAAACAAGCTAAATTCTCTATGGGGGACTGTTTTAACTTTTTTGGATGATCTCGTGGAAATTTTCCACTAAGGAGGGTTGCTAAGGGGGTTTAGCTGACTCCGGAGGGTTACTTCGGAGGGTTCCTCAAAAATCAAGAAAAAAGGTTATGTTACCGCAATAAAGTCTCCAAAAGCGGTGCACCTGACTCAAAACTAGGTTGGCTGACACGGTCAACCTTCCCAGTTGGATAAAAAGGTGTTTTGATAAAATTTTCTGCCGCTCGGAGGGTTACCTGTGATTTGGACACTCCGAGCCAACAAATTCTAAAAAAATTTTCTTTTCCGAGATTATCAACCCAAAAACGATTGCGGTCCGGAAAATTGGTCCAAAACGTCGACTTATGGTACCAAAATTATCCCAATCGGTTGGCTTGTCTTTGAGAAATTGCCAAAAACGTGTTTGTCCAAATGGGCTTTTTTCACCACCTATGTAGGTTCTGAGAAACTTTTTCCGCAATTCCTATTAAAAGTGCCTAAAAATAATTGAAACGAGCATAGTAGCCCTGTACGGCACTGGAATAATGCAAAAAACCGGACCAAAATTGGTTTGAAGACAAAAATTTGGCCAATAACTATCAAATTTGGACCCTCCGATTCCTTCCTTTTCCAATCCTTAAGTCGTTAGCTCTATCCACGGAGCTAATCGGAGGGTTACTCAAGAATTTTTCCGGCAGCCGAGCACGTTATGCTAGCACGCTCCTAATACAAAAAATTTTATTGCTCTAACTCTAAAAACTCAAAAACTCGATCCCCAAAACAGATTGACAAAATTCAGAAAATTATCGAAATTTTGACCGAAAAATTTTGGTTTTTTCCAACTTTTACTGAGTCTTTTCTCACGCGGTTTCTTTAGTTAGGGGGATCGAACTACGTAGCTACTCCCTATATAAAAGCTTTTTTGCTGTTCGGAAAAGCTCGGATATCCAAAAATTTGGGGGTCTATAGTTTGTCAAAAATCAGTAATTTTCGACAAAATTTTGGTGTTTCTTTGGTCTAAATAGGAGATAAGTAATATATAGTAAGGACAATAATCTATTAGCAGTCGTTAATGAATATTACTATACCCTCATTTGCACCAAAATACCCGAATTAAGACCCTTAACTCAGAAATTTGTGATCGACGGAGGGTACAATCGGACCGCGCCAATCGTGCCCCCCTCCACTTAAGTTTTAATGAAATAGTACCCAAACGATACTAAAATTGTCTCAACGATACCCAACAGTCGTTGTGGATGTTGTCCCTATGTCCCTGTTGAGTGTGGAACACGTCGGTCAGCTTGCCACTCTACCCTCCGGTCACCGGCAAAATCATTATTAACGTGCTTAAACACTCAAATTACACTCAAGGGAGGGTATCCAACCCTTCACCAAAACACACAATCTTTCCATCAGAAAAGATATAAATCAATCTGAAACAACAACAAATAGGAAAGTCAGATCACATCTCGTCCGGAAATAACATATAAACTGTCACTTTATGTTTTTTATTGTTTTTGGTCTTTTTTGGATTTTTTACTGTTTTTTTTGTACTTTTTTGTTTTCAAATAAATTTGTTTTTGGCTTTTTCTTGGTTATACACTATTTTTGTTTGGTTTTACGCTTTCTCTTTAATTGTTTTGAGTACTCGGACCTCGGGACAAGCGGGCTCTAGATTTCCCACCTAACCCTCCGGCCCCCCGGAATTTTCGGTGTTGACTAAGTTAAAAAGCTAACTAGTACTAGACGGAGGGTACGCACCTTCCCGCTAGTACAATAACGGTCATTAAGGCCTCTAAGTCGGGCGTACGCCCGGAGCCGAGGGTTCGTCGCTGAAACGCTTGCTGATCATGATGGTTTTATGCCTTTGACAGGCCCACCCAGGAGCGCCATAAAAACGTCTATGTAACATTCGCCCAAATACTACACAGCGACGGAGCCTAGAAAAAGTACCTATTTAACGACTGGCAGGCGTCAGTTACCTTAATCCTACTCGTTTTTTACCGTCTCGACCTTGCCAGTTGATTTTCTGGTCTGTTTAGGGCTAAGTAAAAAGTTACTGTTTTTAGGCCATCAATCAAACGACTTTTGATCAGCTTTCGTTTACAT